GCATGAAGGCTGTAATGTTTAAATAATTACCATTTAAAACGCGTGAAGGTCACATGACCATCAGGAAGAACGCAGCATCCCATTTCTCAAAGGACGCGTTCTCTGCCCTCGCGGTCTCCTGAGTTCGTTCTTCCGAGGACACCTGGCAAGACCGCACTCTACAAGAACGCAAGTCCATTCTCTGCGTTCTTGGAATTGAGAAACAGCCCAACTCAGTCATTTGATCCTCATTCAGATATATTTTAATTATAAGAATACTAAATTAAATCCATCTTGCAGCCCTGAGTGTGCTGCCTAGTTCTCCTAAATGCACATAAGCACTCATTGAAAGACAGGAATGAGTTTCTTTCGTCACTTGTTCTCGTGTCTTTTGTCATTATTTCAAGTATTATTAGTCTCCCATTTTCTCTTCCTTCTTAAGGTTATTGCTTTTTCTTGTTCTACTACTGTTTGTAAAGCTTCATTGAACACTGGCACTATATAAAATAAACAAAAACCATAAATTAAAAGCGTTTAACTGAGCTGACGATATTTGACCTTCAGTATTCTCACAGTGTTGCAGTGATAGTGTTAGCTTAGTACTTTCCACTTGCATATGTCCCATTGATCCCAATTCCCCTTTTTTAATTAACCTCATGGGATTAAACTTGTTTCTAATTGTTACTAGTTCTCACAGATAGTATCTGAATTAGAATTACATCATTATCATAATAACTAATTACCAGCGCTATTGTGTTTAAACAGGGTTTCCATGGAGTCTTAAAATGTCTTAAATTCCAAAATCAAATTTTTAGGCCTTAAAAGTCTTAAATTTACTAATATTGTGTTGTAGGTCTTAAATCTTTTTAAAACAAGTCTTCATTTTCCATTGTTCATATTTTGTTACCCAGTCTGGCCAAAACCCACACAATCACCAACAATCCATCTCAATAAAACTTTAAACTTTTTTATTCAAAAAGGTAATTTTAGCTCTATTTATCATAATGGTTTTATTATTTTCCTTACAATAACATTTGTTTAAACGTGCTCCTCATATTTACTGCTGAGGACATCGACCTGGACAGATTGTTGTGCATAGATTTAATTTATTATAGTTTTTAAAACTTTTGTTAATTTTTTTATTTTAAAGATAATTTATTTAATTTGTAGAAATTTAAAGTTTATTTTGGAAAAAGAGTGTGTGGATACAAGTAAAGCTTGCAAAGCTTTATTTACAAGTATTATTGCAAAATAATAATATAATATTTTTTTATTATAATATTTTTTTGATAGGACAATTACAAAATCTGGGCCATTTGAAAAGATCTTTAGCCTTTAGCCCTTTATGAGTCTAAAATTTCATTCATGATGGTCATAAAAGTCTTAAATTTAACTTGGTGAAACCTGCAGAGACCCTGGTTTAAGGTATGTCAGAAAACATGTATGCCCCAATTTTAAACATGCTGAATGAAATTAACACTAAAATAATTAATCATCATAAAACCTTGTACAGTATTCTAAACTATGTTGATGTTTTGGGACGACGTGAGACAAAACAAACAAATAATAGTGGAACAATAACGTTTAGCAATACCAGTGGCGGATTTAGGCATGGGTAATGTGGGCGATTGCCCAGGGTGGGATTTTCCTGGGGGCGGCAAAAAAAAAGTCCCCTAGTGAAAGCATTTAGATACGATTACTTTATGCAAATGTATTCATTAAGAGTGGCAATCTCAAAATAAAGACATTAGGGGCCATTTACATTTGGCATTTTTTGCACGTGCGAGTTTTTTATTCTCAATGTGCAACTGAAACATCGCTTGTGAAAGCAAAATGATGCATGCGTACAGAAAACCAGCAACTCACACATGCTCCTGTGTGAATCCCGGTTGTTTGCATGCACGCCGAAAAAAAAAGCGTCGCTCATGCGCCATGAAATCGAATTAACAGCCTTTTGTGCAGAAGTGTCAGCACACAGCGAGTTTTGCATAGTTTATGTTAAGTGTATGTAATTTAACGATGGTGTTACTTTCACTAAGCATGGCTATAAAGCAGAAAGGAGGGATAAAGAGTCAGGGAGGTAAGACAGGTCTAAAGGTCTAAGACAAAAGATAATTTGGTAACACTTTACAATATCTACACACTACAAACCATTTACTATGCATTAGCAAATACTGAATTCATTATTTGTTTAGCATTATCTGTTTAGCATTAACTCTAAATTAATAAGTGTTATTAAACAGTTTTTAACTGCAGCTACATATGCTGTATTTCAGACTTAAACGACATTTATAATTTGCTTAATAATTATACTTTCATACTTTGTTAAGGATTAATTTCCTATTACTAAATTAAGTATGGGGAGTTAAGCGCAATGTTTATGATAAGTGGGGGCGGAGCGGGCCAGAATCTTGGTGGCAGCAGGTCAGATGACTGTCAGACCAAGGGGAAATGTCCCTATGTCTCCCTATGGCCAGTTCGCCCTTGAGTTTTACTGTTTTCTATTGTTTATTATTCTTGGTCATTTCTCCAATAATTGTAAGTTTTAAAACAATACCATATGAGATCAGGTCACTGCTATGATATGATTGACAATTTATGTATGTCACTGTTTGTCATTGTGCTCTGTTTATTCTGAGAGCTGAGGCTGAGTATTCGAGAGCTTTTAACTCTTGAAATGATTAACTCCGCGTCATTCTAACACTGAAGAAACAGAATCCTGTGTTATCTGTAATCTCCTTTCACACTGTTCATGCTATACCTGATGTTCATTAACAGACGTTTCACAATCACAAACCCCGGCTTAACATTTTTATTTGTATATTTATGTTGTCACTGTCCCTGACTGGACAAACAGCAGGTCATCTTTTTAGATGGCATTTCTGCATCTTGTCGGATTAACAATATCTGCAAATTAGGAGAAATACTAGCCTTTTAGAAAGAAGCTATTATTATACCAATACCTAAACCAGGAAAAGATCATTCAACTAATTATCATCCAACAGCACTTACCAGTTGCCTTTGCAAAACAATCGAATGAATGATTAATGATCGATTGGTGTGGATTTAAAAAAAAAAACAGAAGATTAATAAATATCAGTGTGGGTTTAGAAGAGGGAAAAGTACTCTTGACCATCTTATACGATTAGAATCTTTTGTACGAGATGGTTTTATTAAAAAAAGAACACATGCAAGCAGTTTTTTTTTTAATCTGGAAAAGGCCTTTGACACTACCAGGAGGTATGGTATTTTAAAAGATTTAACTCTTGAAATTATTAACTCCGCGTCATTCTAACACTGGATAAACAGAATCCTGTGTTATCTGTAATCTTGTTCCACACTGTTCATGCTATACCTGATGTTCATTAACAGACGTTTCACATTCGCAAACGTTTTGGTTCGCAAATGGTGTTCCAGAATAACATTGTTATTTGTATATTTATGTTTTTCAATGTTCCTGACTGGACAAACAGCAGGTCATCTTTTTAGATGGCATTTCTTGTCGGGTTAACAATATCTGCAAATCAGGAGAAATACCAGCCTTTTAGAAAGTAGCTATTATTATACCAATACCTAAACCAGGAAAAGATCATTTAAATAATTATCGTCCAATAGCACTTACCAGTTGCCTTTGCAAAACAATGGAACGAAAAAAAAAACAGAAGTATATCATTAATAAATATTATTGTGGGTTTAGAAGAGGGAAAAGTACTCTTTGCCATCTTATACGATTAGAATCTTTTGTACGAGATGGTTTTATTAAAAAAGAACACATACAAGCAGTTTTTTTTTTTTTTTTTTAATCCGGAAAAGGCCTTTGACACTACCAGGAGGTATGGTATTTTAAAACATTTACACCAGATGGGTGTTTGAGGAAATTTGCCTAATTTTATTGCAATTTTTTTTTTATTCAATAGAGTTTTTCGTGTGCGTATGAAAACTATATTATCTGAATATATGAGCATATATAGCATATATGAGAATCAGAAGTGCCCCAAGAAAGTATACTATCAGTAACACTATTTAGTATTAAAATTAATAAAAATGTAAATGTTAATGGGAATAATATATTTTGTAGTTTATATGTAGATGATTTATGTATTTGTTATAAAGGGAAAAAATATGGATACAATCAAGAGACAAATTTAAATATGTATAAATAAAATATATGACTGGTCAGTTTTAAATGTTTTTAATTTTTCCAAGTTAAAAACTGTATGCATGCATTTTTGTTTTTAATGATCTATGCATTTAGATCAGGAGCTTTTTTAGATAGAGAAACTATACAAGTTGTGAAAAAGGTAAAGTTCCTAGGAATGAGTTTTGACAATAAGTAGTGTTTTATTCCTCATATTAAAGTATTATGAAATAGATGTTTTAAAACAATCAATGTATGAACTTAATCTTAGAAAGGTAAAATAAATAAATAAATTAAGACCTCTGTAATGAAATCCAAGACTTTGTATAAATGTGTACACGTTAATGGACCAAACACAATATGATCTGATTTATTTTACATTTAAACAATTTATTTTTACATTTTATCAATTTGCATCAAAATGTGTAGCCAATGTTTCCTGTGTCTTCTCACTTTTCAGCTTTTGATGAGAGTTTTTAAGACTTAATGAAAATAATGTTTTATTTATTTATTTTAGACTTAATTGAAGTGAATGAGGGGAGTAAAGAGGAGGAACATCATGTCAAAATTGAGGAAAAAACCTATTTACAGACTGATGGTATTTTGAAAAGGAGAGACAAGAACCGTTTCATCTGCACTCAGTGTGGAAAGAGTTTTGGAAGAAAAGACAATCTTAAGATTCACATGAAAATACACACTGGAGAGAAACCGTTCACATGCACTCATTGTGGGAAGAGTTTCAGCCAATCATCAAACCTTAATGACCACATGATGATCCACACTGGAGAGAAACCATTCACATGCACTCAGTGTGGGAAGAGTTTCAGGAAGTCATCATCCCTTACTCTACACATGATGATCCACACTGGAGAAAAACCATTCACATGCACTCAGTGTGGGAAGAGTTATTGCCAATCATCACACCTTAATCAACACATGATGATCCACACTGGAGAGAAACCATTCACATGCACTCAGTGTGGGAAAAGTTTTAACCGCTCATCAGGCCTTTATCAACATATGAGGATTCACACTGGAGAGAAACCATTCACATGCACTCAGTGTGGAAAAAGTTTTAACCGCTCATCAAACCTTTATAAACACATGAGGAACCACACTGGAGAGAAACCATTCTCATGTGTTCAGTGTGGGAAGAGTTTTAACTTCTCATCAACCCTTTATCAACACATGACAATCCACACTGGAGAGAAACCATTCACATGCACTCAGTGTGGGAAGAGTTTTACCTGCTCATCACGCCTTCATCAACACATGAGGATCCACACTGGAGAGAAACCATTCACATGCACTCAGTGTGGGAAGTGTTTTAACTTTTCATCAAACCTTAATCGACACATTAGGATCCACAGTGGAGAGAAACCATTCACATGCACTCAGTGTGGGAAGAGTTTCAGCCAATCATCACACCTTAATCAACACATCATGAGCCACACTGGAGAGAAACCATTCATGTCTAATCATCTTGTTTAATCCCGCCCCTTTTCGCAGTGGCGTACAACAGAATTTCGCATACTCAATAGTGATGGGAAGTTCGGATCATTTTATTTACTGATCGAGATGAACAAATCTTTTTTCGAGTCATTTCGTTAATTTGGTTCAATTTGCCAAAATATTATTAAAATGTTACGAATTGCTTCCAAACACATCTACAACTAGCCCAGAAGGTTCATCACACAACAAATAAGTCATAAATAAATTATAAGAAGAAGAAAATAATAATTCAATGTTTACCTGCTCTTTTGTCTATAGGTATTGTTGTCTGTTTGCTCAGCTCACCTCTTCATGTCTTCAAATGTCAGTGGTGCGTTCACGTTACAATGACAGTCACATATAATCTTAACCAATGTACACAGTCTGAGCCGATAGGAGCCATGATAATTAGTTCACCTTTCGAGTCTTCTGGTTCTTGAGTCGTTCGTTCATCACGTGACAGAATAACTCAAACCCGAGGACTCGAGAGGTGAACAGATCAATTCTTTTTCTGGCTCTAAATGCGTATGATTGGCATATAAATGCATATGTTTGGCTGTAGTCTTTCATGTGGTGAACGAACGACTCGATAGAGGATTCGAAAAATTAACTGATCTTGTCTCGCACTATTCAATTCAATTCAGCTTTATTTGTATAGCGCTTTTACAATGTAGATCATGTCAAAGCAGCTTCACATTGTGCACATGAGCGAATTAATGAATCTTTTAGTTAATCCGAGTCATTCATTCATTTTGTCACATAACATGAAAGAAAGCATAAGAAATGAATTATTTAATAAATCAAATAGTCTTTGTGAATAGTTTTGTAACATATGATGCTGCCAGTATTACACACTTAAACACTGTTTAATTGTTGTTTATTGTTTTATTATTATTATTATTTTACCAGAAAAGCTTTTATAACAAATCAGATTACTTTATAAATCCCGACAATAAAATAAGCAAAAGAAAAACAAAATAGTGCACATCAAGCTAGGCTTTTTAATAAATAAAAACAAGTAAGCTTTAAATTAAATAACACGTTTGTGCCATAAAATCTTTATATGAAATATGGCAACTCTTCCCAGTAGATGTTTTTATGAAACAGCAATTTAAGTGAAAGATATTATAAATAAAAATACAAAAGCCACAGGGCCTAATGAGCTTAACAACTTGACTTGAGAATAGAACAGTGCATTTTTTAAAAAATTAAAATTAAATAAGCTTTAAAACAACACTGTGTGGCTTTACTTGTTGGACTTGGCTTAAGGTTTGTTAGCATTTAAAAACACAAGCTCTGAACCTTTGGTAGGCTGAGTCTGTTTCTTCTTTTGTCATTAGTTGTTGTCGCAGGATAAAAGATGCTAAATGAGTAAATGCAAATGCAAACTTTCTTTATACAAATATTAGACCAATACATAAAGTCTGCATAGAAAAACATTATTAAACAAAAATGGGGTATAAATGAACAAATTACAAATCACTTGTAATTGTAGAATTTAATTCATTTATTGCCTAGCTTAGTGTTTGTTTTCTGATAGCAAGCCAGCAAATAGACAAATCAATATATATATATATATATATATTCAAAATATATATACTAGATATAAACCACATATCCAGTAGAAAAAAGTAACAATAACTTAGTGACCATAGGACAGAACTTTTTTTATTTCTTACAAAATGCTTTTTAGGTACACATTGTTTGATGATTTTATGAAAAGTTTCAAATATGATCATATGATGCAACAAAATTCAGTTTTACATAAATATTATTGACTGAGGTTCTCGTTGCAGAGTACAGTGGAACTACAGTTTAAGATCAGAAATGCATATAATAATGTAAGGATGACTATATCTCTCCATAATATTAAAATCTGCAAACTGTTATGGAACTCCACACACGAGACAAGACCATGAGAATGGTCAGGCACTAAAACAATAAACTTTCCAATGTGAGAAGAAGATCAGCTAGAAAACCAGTTGTTCAGGTTGTCTTGATCATGCATCCTGAGTCGCCCTCTTTGCCCTGGACTTTACCTTCTCCACCAGAGCAGCTCACTCACATTCCACACCGAATGTTTAAGTTTTTAATATGGTGTATCTTGTGGCTTTATATTCATGTTTGGTGTGATTTAAAATGTCTCTGTGTGATTGATAAAGAGGTCTTAATTTCACTGTAATATTTTACAATCTCCCTTATTTCAGTTAATTTGGGTTTTGACTTTAAAAAGATCTTTGCCAGATGCTCCACTCCAGGGAAAATGGTCTTCGCATCAACTCATGACCAGGCAAGAGTCTTGGTGAAGCTTTTATTGTGTTGAATTTATGATGATTTGAATATTTGGGCAAAGGATGCAGAATTGTCCGTGTGATCCTGTAGTCAGGATACCCCATTGCAGGTTGTGAGTCTCTGAGCTCTGCATCAGGACTTATATGCTGCAATGTATTTCTTCATGGTCAGGTATTCCTCTTTAACTCTTAAATGTATCTTTGAGTAATTGATGTTGTACAATCTTGATTGGCTTATTTTGTTTAATTATGTGAACTGGAATGGAAAATCTTTTTTCTGACAAATAAATGTGAAATTCTTGTTTGACTCTAATATCTCCTGAAATCATTTAAATCTAGTAGACTGTTTAGGCTGATGTTTCCGCAGCCTACGACCAGGATTAGTCATCCATTCAGGCGCAATGGATGGAGCATGGGCACAGCATTAGAGACTTGTTTATTTCTGACAATCACTGATAATATAATCTAGGGGTATGATATCATCTAGGGGCTAAAATAAACTTTCTTTAAGTATGAGCAAGCATGGGGCGGCCTATTATTACTTAAAGGAAATTAGCTTATCTGCTAAGAATCGGAACTGGCGATGATATGTCCGTGAGCAGATGAAACTGGCCAGCATACTGACTCTAAGCGACTTTAAGTAAACGATGAAACATTAATTGAATATAAGGATTTATTAGGTTAATCAATCTAAATTAGACCTTATCACAACCTATAAGGTAATCAGCTTGAATTAGATTAATCTAAATCTAAAATTATTATAAATTGGAGACAGATTAAAATTCAGAGCTAGAAACAAATTAAAATAAATTATAACGAACAAAAATATTTCTTTTCACATGTGCTAAAAAGCTTCAACGCATTTAACCTTCACCCTTGCTGTTAGTTCCGTCATGGGACTAATAGATGGACCTTCACATGTGTGTGTATTTATATTGTTTATAACCATAATAGTTCTACAGTTTCTTCTATTTTACTTGTTGATTTCTATTTTATTTAAATAGTGTATTTATTTTGTTAAAGAGCCCATATTATGGTTTTTTGAAAATGCCCTTCCATGTAGTGTGTAACACAGCTCTAAGTGAAGTGAAATATGCAGCTAAGGCTTAAATCTGTAAGTGTACAATGTTTAAAACTGTTGATTCATCTATAAAAGAGTCGACTCATAGTGCTTCAAATGAGTCGTCTTGATAACGAGTCATTAGGTGTTTTGTGATGACGTATCTACGAAACACAAGTAGTTGCGTGCGCAAACCCGGGAGATTTGAAACCTGCGGCCTCACCCACTAACACAGAAAAAAAGCCACACACACACGCGCACGCCGGTCGAATGTGATGTCACACTGTGCAGATGGATATTATTGAGTCTCTACCCAAAGATGAAACCTCAGCATTAGCTCAGCCTTGAGCAGTTTGAGTGCTTCTGGAAACTACATGCTTTAGACTGGGTGTATATTACATGCTTAATAATCAATTTTTAGACTGTGTGTGTGTGTGTGTGTGTGTAGGCCTATTATTATTTAAAATTAAATAAAAAAATAAAAATGATTATATTATGTAAAAAAAAATATTATTCTTTATAATTATATCCAGTTCCCCTAAAACTTTGCTTAAATACCATATATATTTATTAAATAAATAAAACCAAAAAGTAAATAACTGTTTGGTCTGACAAGTTTTCAGGACATATCAAATTTCAGCACAACACTAACTAACTAGTCTCACTCACACACACACACACTTGTACACACTCTCACTAACACACTCACTCTTGTACATGCTCTCTCTCACACACACCTACATTCTATCTCAATTCAATTCATAAATACTTTTTTAGCATGACTGTAAATGATACAATGTTGCCAACACAAACACATCGACATCTCACAGACACATGTACATGCTCTCACTCACAAAGATAAGCCCTCCCTCTCACACACACACTTCTACATGCTTTCTCATAAACATGTACTGGCTCTCTCTCTTCCACACACTACTACATGCTGTCTTTCACTCACACACACACACACAAACAAATGTGCATTTGATACTTATATAATTTTACGTGCTCATTAGGCTTACGATAGGTGGTTGCATTGTAATTATTTGGTCATAAAGGTATTAATTGTTTTAAATAGTTTTTCAGCTAATAATGTTTGTGATGTCATACATGCTACAAAAGGCTTTTAAAGCTGACAAGACGTGGAGCAATCATGACCAGAGCGTTCCAGAGAGAAGGTGTCTCTCAAAATGCAGTGGCCCAGCTCGCTGCAATTGCAGAGCTGTACTTTGCGAACAGGGAGCAATTTAACAGAATCAGCTTCACACCAGGAAAATGAACAGAGTTCGCTCAAAAGTGTAGAGACCTCATTTTTGGAGATTTTTGCATAAAGGTTGTATCAATGAAAAGGAAGGGTTCTTTTGTATGTTTCTTTGTTCAATAATGCTCCGGTTTACTGTTGGTAAAATGTAGAAGCAAAAACCTACAGCACAATAAGCTTAGCTTATAATTCCAAAAAAAAAAAATATTGAAATCAGATGCAAAAACTTTTAAATTCCGACTAAATTCATTAA